CAAAAATAGTTAAGATGGTAAATTTTATGTTGTGACTTTTATTACAATTTTTAAAAATTAAAACATTAATTCATTCACTCATTAAGTTTGCAATATTCCAGGCACTCTACTAAGGGCGAGGGATACAAGTGTAAACAATACCCTGTTCATGCCTGCAAGGAACTTATAGGTGTGACCATCAGACAGGTGGGCACAGTGTGACCAGGGTTGTGGGAGCCTGTCAGAGGGGCATCTTAGTCCCCTATGTATGTCAGACCCAGCATATGTTTAACAAATAACAGAAGTCGGCAAAGCAATAAATGCTACAAGATCTGTGCCTTTGATTCATTATCAGAAAACTCTCTACTAGGCAGAGCTGGAGATGGTGAGTCTGCTACTACCCAAGTGGTTTGGTTCAGAGGCCAAAAAATGATTTGCTGGGAATATTACTGAGGGTATTTCTAAGTTACTTAGAACATGTGAGCATTGTCCTTTTTTCTCACTACTCCTTCCAGATGGAATCTTCTGTTGATTTTATTACTATTCTATTCACTCAGCTCCCACTTCCAATACTCTTGTCTGGGTTATGACAACAGCTTCATCTTCCTGTGACCAGAGTCCACCCCACTAATTCATTCTCTGCACTGCAGTCAGTCATCCCTACTTGAAACACTTCAGCGGCTCCACATTACCCTCAGAATACCCCAGACTCCTTAGGGTGGTGTCTTAGCTCAGGCTGCCTTAACAATATATCACAGACCTGGTGGCTTTCGCAACAGGAGTTTATTTCTCATTAAGGTCTGGAAGCTGGGAAGTAAGATCAAGGTGCCCATCCATTAGGTTCCCTGGTGGGGGCCCTCTTCCTGACTTGCAGACAGCCTTCTCACTGTGTCCTCACATGGTGGAGAGAGAGCACTTTGGTCTTTCTTCCTCTTCTTATAAGGACCCTAATCCCATCATGGGGGTGCTACCCTCATGACCTCATCTAAACCTAATTACCTCTCAAAGGCCCAAACTCCAAATACCATCACATTGGGTGTTGGGGCTTCAACATATGAATTTTGGGGGCAGAAATATTCAGTCCATAATATGTGGCTTCTCCAGCCTTTCAGGGCCCCTGTTTTCCTCTTTATCCCCATCTCTCTCACTGCTTCCCTTTAGTTGCTGGCAATATTTGAATGCCCCTTGTTCTTGCTTCTTTCTAGGCCTTTGTACAAGCCATTCCCTCTACCTAGAATGACTTTCCCCTCTTTTGCTAGGATAACTCCTATCTGTCCTTTAGGTGTCCTCTGCAAAGAAGCTTCCTGGGCCCCAAACCAGGTCAGGTGTCCTTCATCTGGGTTTCTGCTCTTGAGTGCCTTGTGCATTTCCCTACGGTGGCTCTCATCACACTGCATCGTCGTCTCTCCTGCCCCACCATCCACCACCCCAGTGAACTCCCTGAAGGCAGGACGGGCCTCGTTCACCTCAGCGCCTAGTACAATGTGTGGCTAACGATGTATGCACAATGAATACTTTGGTTTGTATGGCGCTCTGTACTTTTCAGAGTGTCCCGACACAAATTAACTCGTCTATAGAGGTATAATTATATTTCCTTACTTAACATTCATTCCTCCTGAATAAAATTTTCCTTTAAAAATATTACTTTTACTAACAAGATTTCTGTGAAGTCAATAATCCACTATGTCACTAATGTGACTGAGTCAGGGGTCAAACTATCTCATTTTTCCTGGTATACTAGAAGAGCTTGTGAAAAAGCAGATTTCTTTCTATAACCCAGCAGGACCCTATGGGGCCTTCCTGGGACAGACCCCTCTCCTATAGTCTCTGCTTTAGCTCCTCTGTGAATTACCTAGATAATCATATCTGATGCTCATTTCCTGAGTAGTTTTACAGATGCTAAAACTTCCACCAAATGGAAGAAATTAACTACTTGATGATGATGAGCCCATAGCCCCCAGACCCACTGGCGCCTAAGGATTGATAATGTTACCCCTGTGACATCATCCTGTTACCTTACCATCAACCAATCAGAGAACTGTGCACAAGCTGTTCACAGACCCTGGGATGCCCCTCCCTCACTTTGCCTTTAAAAATGCTTTGCTGGGACTTCCCTGGTGGTCTAGTGAGTAAGACTCTGTGCTTCCACTGCAGGGGGCACTGGTTCAATCCCTGGTGTGTGTGGGGGACTTCCCTAGTGGTCCCTGGTGGTTAAGAATCCGCCTTCTAATGCAGGGGATGCGGGTTCGATCCTTGGTCGGGGAACTAAGATCCCACATGCCACAGGGAAACTAAGCCCACGCGCTGCATCTAGAGAGCCCATGCACTGCAACTACCAAGCCTGTGTGCCACAACTAAAGACAAGCCTGTGCACCACAACTAGAGAGAAGCTTGTGCACTGCGACGAAAGATCCAGCGTTTCGCAACTAAGACTCGACCCAGCCAAAAACAAACAAACAAAACAAAACAAACAGGGAGTTCACATGTTTTGAGTACTAGCTTTCCTGAACTCCTTGCTTGGTGCCCTGCAATAGGTGCTGTACTTTCCTTCACCACAACCCAGTGTCAGTAGATCAGCTTTACTATGTGTGGGCAAGAGGATTCAAGTTTGGTTCCATCCACCTCACTACAAATAACTCAATTTTGTTTCTTTTTATGGCTGAGTAATATTCCATTGTGTATATGTGCCACATCTTCTTTATCCATTCATCTGTCGATGGACACTTAGGTTGCTTCCATGTCCTGGCTATTGTAAATGGAGCTGCAGTGAACATTGTGGTACATGACTTTTTTTTTTTTTTTTTTGCAGTACGCAGGCCTCTCACTGTTGTGGCCTCTCCTGTTGCGGAGCACAGGCTCCGGACGCGCAGGCTCAGCAGCCATGGCTCACGGGCCCAGCCGCTCCGCGGCATGTGGGATCTTCCCGGACCGGGGCACGAACCTGCGTCCCCTTTATTGGCAGGCGGACTCTCAACCACTGCGCCACCAGGGAAGCCTGGTTCAGTAACATTTTGAGTGACTTGATGGAGGTAGGTGTCTGTGAGGGTGCAGTGGGGGAATGGGTATTGGCCTCAGCTGGTGATCTGACCTCAGGAGTTTGCATCCCTGGCTTCCTGGTGGCAGAAAGTAGGAGGCAGGACTGGGAAGGGAATGCCTGTGGCTTGGAGGAAGCTCTTAGTTCTTAGAATCACAGAACTTTAGTCTTAGGTCATTTGGTTCAACCTTTGCCTTTAAGAAGTGGGGAAAGAGATCTAGTATTTTGCCCAGAAAAACCTCAGAAGACCTCCCACCAATCTTGTTTTCCCTCTCCCAAAAGCCTGAAGTTGGAGGTCACTAGGCTTCTGATCTCAATCAAAATATCTCTCAGAAGCATTTATCCCCTCTCTTTCAGCAGCATCATCTGAATAGTATGCTCTGGATAGATGATGGGTTAATATTGCTACATAGAAACTCATGGAAGGCATAGTCCTTGGCCTCTAGGAACTTACAAATCAAGACCAAGTGTTTAAAAATGATTTGCACATGCCGTCAAGTCAAAAGAAAGAGAAAGTTTTAAATATAGCTTTTATTTGAAAGCTGAACCAGACATTAAATCAAAATAATTTTTATTTTTTTGCTTTTGCTTGGACTTTCCACTTCGTATATGTAGATGCTCAAAAATTATGATTTAGATTTAGGAAAGTGCTGATTTCGGAAAGTGGATGTTCATTTTTCCCCAGGGTGCAGAGGAGTCAGAGTAGGGAAGGAAGGATGACATCACTGAACACCTCCTGCAAAGTGAGGATTGTCATTCCCACTTCTCTGTAGGACTCTGAGGTGCAAGGATTCCCCATGGTTAGGTTGCTAATAGTTGTGTGTGTGTGTATGTGTGTGTGTCTGTGGTTTGAACCCAGTTCTGTCATCAGAGCCACACAGGCTGCTAAGAAGCAGAAAGTCTGGCATTCTGGGTCCCAATTATCAATGTGAAATACGGCCAGTTAAGTTCAGAAGGAGGTTATCTGGTTCAAGCCTGCCTTTTACATATGGAGGTGCCGAACCCCTAAACGACAGAGCAGCCAGCCTGCAGAAGGGCAGAAGGCAGTGTATGTGTGTGGGCCAGGTGTGGCCCAGCGCTGACACACAGGAAGCCTGAAGCGAGAAAGGGTGATTCCATCCAAGAAAGAGAAGGCAGAAAAGTGGCTATTCTCATTCCCACACTCAAGGTGTGAATTCCTTTATTGAGTCATAGTAATTTTCCAAAAATTCTGATTCCTGGTACTTTAGGCTCTCAGCTCAGTATTTATCTCTTTGTCCCCAAACTCCACACCCTTCAAGGTGCCTCACAGTCCAGCACGGAGTGGGGGGCTCCCACAGCTGCACATCATTCTCTGTCACCCCTGGCCCCCAAACCCCTGGTTCCTTTGGTCTCACCTCTAGACAACTGTGTCCTTCAAAAACTTCTTCCCTGGCACTTCCTCACTGACCTACAAAATCTTTCCCAAGGCATGGTCCTTCTATTTACATTTTTACAGAGCTTTTGCTTTTATAATGTGCTTTCTTGCCTACCTTCTCACTTGATCCTCATAAACACCCCAAGTGAGGTAGGAGGAAAGGGATTATTGCTCCCATTTTACAGGAAAGAGACTGAGGCTGCCCTCTTGATTCTCCAGTGTCATCAGCAAACATTTATGGGTCTAAGCCTCACACTGGCTCAGCAGTGCTCCTTTGGCACAGGTTCTAGGTTTTCTTTTCTTCTCACGTTTCCTGGAATCCCGGTGGGTTTTACACAGCAGGCACACTACAAATATAGCTGATGATGCATGGCTAACCGAAGGCTGCAGTCAAAAGCTTTGTGTTGCTTTGGCGGTGCCCCTGTAGACTCGGCTGATTTCCAAGTGAATCGCATGCCACTCCTGTCCCTTTCCTGTTTATAATTCATCGTCTAATCAGATTTTTCAGGGGACGTAAGTTTGCAAACTTCCGTTTTATCCAAATGGATCTGTTTTGTTTTTCCTTGCCTAAATGTTAGGCATCCAACCTGATGGGTTTCACAAATTAATGTAATTTATTTTCCATGTTGTCAGTGCAAAACAAAGGTGTTCTTAAGACAAAGCACTGAAGACCACAGTCCTTCCTCCTCTTCTGTTTCTTGAGTCAGCAGAAAGTAAACAGTTCTGTAAACATGTGTGGGTCTACGTCCTTGTGTGTGTGGACCCGCTGCTTTATTCCACCCTTAACTGGTTTTGTCCTAGTTAAGTACCAAGTGGCCTTGTCTTAGTCAAAATGGAGATTCCCGTAGCATCTGGATTTTCATCAAGGCCCGTTTCAGTTGCTCGTAGGTGACGAACATCACCACATTCCAGGCTCCCAAACGCAAAAATGAGGGTGTAAATCTGATGAGAGAAACAACCACATGGTCAGGTGGGTGGACTGGAGTCCCACATGGATCTATGTGCTCTCCCCACTCGGTGCTGGTGCCAAAGGACTAGCCTTCTGTTAGTCACGAGCATTTTCTGAGATTGTTCAGTCAGTTTCTTCTCTACTGAAGGAATTTAGGCAGAAGCTGGAGTTGGGAAAGGAAAGAAAACTAACATTTTGAGCCGTGTTACTGTGTCAGGCAGTTAATTCTCACGGTTCTATCAGGTAGCTATGATTGTTGCCAGTTCTTTCTCTTCAGAAACCGAGGTTAAGTAGCTCAGTTAAAACCACCTGACTCCATTCTGCTGCTGGGTATTTCTGGGCTCATTTACAACCTGAGTGGCCACCCCTGCGGAGACCTCGGCCTCCAGCTGGAGGGGCAAAAACAACGTGACACCAAATTTAGTTACTCTCCGGAGAGCCTGCCAGTCCTGCGGTAGGTAGCGCGGCTGGGCGATAGCCCCCCTCGGCTGTGCTTCGCAGACTCAGGGAGCGGCCCGGCCCCTGCCTCTTCTTCAGCCTCTCTCTCTGCTAATCCCCTCCTGGTCCTCTCAGCTCCTGCCAGACGCTTCCTCCCACACCTTTGCCCATGTTGCTCCTTCTGCTTGGAATATCTCCTTCTCTCCTTGCCGGGCTGTTCGCTCTTGGCTCCGTGGGACTCAGCTTGGGCACCAGAACCTCCCACCAAGGTCTCTCCTGAACCCTCAGCCTGGGCCCCTCACAGGGCGTATAGCACGGGAACAACGAATGTGAACTCTGGCGTTAGACCTGGATTCACATCCTAGCTTGACCAGCTTCTTGAACTTAATCTTTCTCAGCCTCAGCTTACTTATCTGTAACATGAGGACAGCAACACCTACCGCACGGAGTTGTCGAAAGGATTAAATGAGTTAAGGTACAGCGCATAGCACAGGGCCCAGCACCCGCAAGATGCTCAGTGAATGTTTGCCAAGTGAAAGTACAAACCGAGACAAGTGGCTACAGCTGAAGAGTGAAATGATGGCGGCACTTACAGGAAAAGAACTGTCAGCTGGAACTCAGTTTTGTGACGTCATCCCAGGGTCGAGAACATGGTTGCTTGTTGGGCCCAATCTAACGCTGGGTGCCAGAAAACTATCCTCAGTGGTGGAGGTAAGAGGGCCAAGCAAAGAGCTTAGCGTGGGATGGACGATGTGGGTGGTATCTGATGGTCAGTGTTTGAGCCGTGGCTCTGCCGTTCAAACTTTGTGAGCTGGGACAAGTTCCATGACCTTTCTGAGCCTCGGTCTCTTCCCCAGTAAATGTGGAGAACATGGCCCAGTTCAGGGGGGTGAGATAGTATTTGTGAAGTGCTTAGCAAAAGGCCTCATACTTAGGGACTTAGCAGTCATGATGATTGTTAATGACTATAGAGTGCTGCCTTGGTGCTGGGGACTCTGGGATATGGAAGATGTATACAGTTGACCCTTGAACAACACAGGTTTGAACCGTGAGGGTCCACTTATACACAGATCTTTTTGCAATATTAAATACTACAGTACTGTATGATCTGCGGTTGGTTGGATCCGTGGTTGGTTGAATCTGTGGATGTGGAACCAGGGATATGGAGGAACCATGGCAATGGAGGAACCTCATGTATGGAGGGTCGACTATAAATTGTCCACGTATTTTCAACTGCATGGGGTCCATGCCCCTAACCCTTGCATTGTTCAAGGGTCAACTGTATAAGCCACAGTCCTTGGCTGCAAGGAGCCTGCACTCTAGCATGGGGGATAATTTAAACTTACAAATACTATAATATTGATACAAAGTAGGAAGTGGTAGATCCCATAAAAGTGGTGTGGAGGAAGTATCACTGAAGTTCACAGAGGGGGAAAGTTTACACCTGAGAGTGTTAGGGAGGAGGTGGCATTTGAACTAGTCTTGAAGGACAGCTAAGATGTAGAGCATGTGGATGGCTCAGGAAAGGCATTCCACGCAGAGGGAACAGTAAATGCCAAGGCAGAGAAGCAAGAAAACATGAAGCACATTGGGCACTAGGGCTGCCGACTGTGGTGATCCACAGTGATGGCGGTGGGTCAGGGAAAAGTCTCAGGATTACCAACCACCTTTCCCTCCTCCTCCCCTGCCCAGGACGTTTGCGGATGGCACTTTGACCTATGCCTAGAAACCTTTTTCTCAGATAAGCCTCCCTGACTCTCCAAATCAGACCTGGTCCACTCTTTCTAAAAATCATTTCCGTAGGTCTTTATACTTGTCCTTTGTGGCATTTACACCTGTGCTGTTCACCAGTGTGTTTCCAGGTGGACCCATGGTAGACACAATCCACATGGCGGGAAGGAAGGGAGCTGGGGAGGGAGGCCTGCTTCTCTAGGAGGGAGTACTGGCAGCAGGAGGGGAGGCTCACCCCTTATAGAAGGCTGTGGGGCCCTCCTGGGTCACCATCTTCAGCATACAGTCGAAGGGGCTGCGGTACTGGCCTGGGGGTGAGTTCATATACCGGGTCTTCACCACGTCCACTGGGGAGGCCACCACTGTGGCACAGAAGCCAGCTCCAAAGGCAGAGACGAAGTGGCAGGGGAAGTTGTCTGTCGCAGGTTAGGGAAGAGCAAATGTTGGGCTGTGAGACGAGGCGTGCCCTTGCTTTCTGTTTCATATGTGTCCACTGTTTGTCCCTCATGAAACTGTGAACTCCCTGAGTGTAAGGATAGTGTTTTCCAAATCTCTCACAGTGCCCAGGGCGGAGCTCTTGGTAAGGACTCGTAAAACAGAACTGGGCTGTCCCAGGGTTGGAAGGTAATCCAGTCCAACCACCTAGTTGGAGGAAACTGTAGTCAGAGAATGTGACCCTTGCTTAAAGGTGCATGGGGAGAGGTGGCACGGGGCTGGAAGCCAGGTCTCGGGCCTCCTGTCCAGGGTTCTTTCCTACTCATCATGATGATGTGCTGGGCACTTTTTGCTGGGCACTGCGCCTCCCTCTACTCCTTCTGAAGCCCAGTTGCCTGTGGGTGGTGCCCACTCTCTGGTGTCCCGGGTTCCCTCTCTGCTATGGGAGGGCCGTCTGCCTGGAGCCCAGGGCCTCACCGGTGAGCAGGTGGTAGTTTAGCAGCTTCTCCTTGATGATGTCGTAGGTCACCATCTCAGCACAGTTGATGATGGCATTCCTCGTGATGTTGGGCAGAGTTCCTGTCAGGGAGGGGGTGGGGCTGATGAGTGGGGAAGAGGAGAAATGGAACCCCTGGCTGCAAGGCCACAGGCCCCAGTTGGGGGGACATGGTGCCCCATTCCAGGGGTCTCAGAGGAGCCCACCTCAGGTGGGCAGATTCCATACTTTCCTTTCTGATGTTTAAAAACTCTCACGTTATCCATGTCCATCTTAGAGACAAAAAACAGAGAGGCCCTCTTGTATTTGTTTGGGCCACAGTTCAGAGGATAATCTGCAATATCTATCAAAATTAAAATATGCCTCCCTGAGACCTGGCTAGAGGCAGAAAAGGAAGCCTTTCTTTGGAAGCGGGAGGCTAGGCTCTTGGAACAGTGACAGGATGTAGCCCTGGCAGGGCCCTTGGAGAGCGTCAAGACCCCCCCCCCCCCACCGCCCTGGTTTCACAGATGAGGGCTGGGCTCCAGGAAGGCACACAGCAAGTGAGGCTGTGACCCAGGTGTCATGCCTTTAACCTTCACTGGGTCACTGTTTCCTCTGCAAGATTCACGTGAGCCCCAGCCACATGTGGGAGAGACAACAGCATTTGTCAAGGTGGCCACCACTCAGACACGTAGGGAACCCTAAAGCCTTGTTCCCAAGGAAGCCCCCTCCTCATGGCTGCTTCCCCCAGTGGCCTCTGTTTCCTCTCCATGCCCTGCAGTCGTCCTCGTCGGCCTCTGCTTCGGAGGCCCTTCCCTCACTCTCTGCTGAGCCGGCTCAGCCTGTGAGGCCTGGATTGTGCCTCACCTCCCCCCAACCCCCAGCCCGCATGGCCTCTCCTGCCTCCGGCCCTGCCCCTGCGCGTGAACCCAGCACATCCTGCCCTGTGGAGTAGCTGCTCCTTGACATGTCCCCTCTCCTCTGTGTGACCGTGAGAGCCACGAGGATGTCTTCTATTCATTTCTCTCTCCCTCACAGTCCTGCACGTGGTGAAGAGTTGGCAAACTGAACTGAATTTGGGGCAGGGTGGCGGGTCAGCTGGGATGTTGCAATGGTTGGGATGTTTCTTTAGAGTCGCTGAAATACACGTGCTGGGCTGCCCCCTTGCCCAGTTCCCTGCTCCAGCCCTAGGGTAGGGAAATCACTGCCCAAGACCCCCTGAACCTGGAGTCCAGACCTACCTTTCCACAGGCCCCGAACCCCTTCCTCCCTGGCGATGGTCCTGTAGGCATCCATTGTCCCGCTGTACTTCCTATTGCTCCCGGGCCCAGCGTGCACGCTGGCCTGAAATCGGATCTTCACCACATCCGTGGGCTGGGCACAGGTCACTGCCATGGCCCCGGTGGTGCAGCCCGCCAAAATCCGGGTAGTGATGCTGCAGTCTGGAGAGGAGGAGAGTGAGTGGGCCAGTGTTCCGCCACCCAGCACCTCTCTGGGCCTGATGCTGATCTCTGGGGGCTTCCCCTGCTCGATGCCTCCCTCTCTTGGGCCAAGGTTCCAGAGCCTCCTTAACGGAGGCTCAGAGTCTTCTCATGAGCATGTTACCAACTTCTCACGCCCCAGCTCTGCCTCTGAGTCTGCACTGCCCTGGTCTTCTGACCCACAGCCTAGATTCTGCTTCCGCCCACCCCCTCAGCACTCACGGTCCGATCCCTTGGGGGTGTAGAACTGCTTGACGGAGTCATAGAGGCCGATGCGGACGGAGGCGAAGCTCATCTGGCGCTGCAGGCCGGCGACCAGCCCTTTGTAGGGGCTGCGGGGGCCCTCGGTGCGCACCATGGTCAGGATGGTGCCCAGCACCCCGCGGTACTGCGCGCTCCGGGCCGCCTGGTTCTCCCCCTGGATCTGAGGGACACCCCACAGCGGTGTGAGGGGCTGGGTTGGGGGTGGATGGGGCTGTGTGCAGGGGGGCCTGCTTGGGGCTGGACCTTGGAAAAGCATGATCACAGCATCACATCCCGGTAAAAATGACAGTTTTGTGTAGCAGTTTCCAGCCCACAAACTGTTGTACACAGTGTGGTGTTGGATCCTCAGGGAGAACAGCGTGGATTGTTTTTCTTGGTACAAATTGTCAGTGGCTTGCCCAAGCTCACCCAGTAATTCCTTACTTCTACTTCTCACTTTTTGGCTTACAAAGTAGGGCAAGGCCATGAAGGGCCCTGGCATGTCCTGCCAAGGAATTAAGATCTTTTGGTCTTGGGTGATGGTGATGGGGAGGTGGCGAGGCAGGGTTGTGGGCAGTGGGGTGAGTGGCCTGCTCAGGGTCCGCTGTGAGGAAGAGCGAGCGGGCAGACACTGCAGGTGCCCTGGTGGAGAACTCAGCCCCTCCGCTGATGGGAGTAATGACCCTCGGCCAAAGGGCGCCTACCTGCAGGCGGACCTTGGCCGTGTCCAGTGGAAAGGTGAGGAGGTCAGCGAAGCAGGCCGCTGCGCCCGCCCCCAGGAACTTCACAGCCGTTGTGGGAGGCACCTCTGAAGGCTTCAGTCCAACCATGGTCCCAGGGGCTCTGCCCGGTCCCTCCAGGGCCCAGCGGACGTCCAAGGAGAGAGGCTGCTGCACAGCCCTGGGCTTCAGTGCATGCAGGAGGCTGCAGGAGACAGGCCAGAGGAGGGGATAGAGCCCATGCCCTCTGGGTCCGTCCCCAGGCCCCCCTCAGCATCAGGAGGGTGTTTATAAGGGAAAAGCCTGTGCATGGCTGTGCTTAGCTGGGTGGATTTGACTTAAAAGAACAGGTCACTTTCCTCCCTTATGTCTTGCCATCTTCACCCTGACCCCTCTCCCCTCCCGGTTGGAGGTGGGTCTTCACTGTATAAAGGCTCAGGCAGGGACAGGCAACCCCCCAACCCCGTTCTCCTTCCCCAGCCTCAGGCTGCTTCCTGCGAAAGGCCTGCTCCCTGAGGTGTATGGAGAGAGAGCCTGCCAAGTCTCATCGCTTTAGGCCCTGCCATCCCAAATCAACAAAATAAATGTGCCTCATGGCTCAGTTAAACTGCTAGCCATCTTGGATGAGGGGTTGTAGTTGTTGTTTCCTCCAAGCCTGCCTGAATGTACTCTTCTTTACTTAAAACAAACACAGTCCTTCTCAGCCTGTGATTGCTTCTCTGTCACCAAAGATATTTAGCCTGTGACTAGAGATGTTTCCTCCCAACACTGTAGGACTCCCGGGCTGGTGTTCTGCTGTGGAGGGACGGGGTGGGGGGGCGGTGACTGACCCTGGGCCCCTCTGCTGCTCGGCCTCCCCAGGGCTCTGAGGGGGACTGTGCCCCCTCCCTGCCCCCAGGGGTGCACTTGTGCCTGCACCCATCTTACTGCTGGTGGACCAGGGGCATGTGTACATGAGGGTCCTGGTTTAGCCTTGGTTACCTTGGGAAGCGGGCACAGGCCTTTGGTGCTGATGCCATCTCTTGGCAGTTCATGCCCATGGGCACCCCAACTCACACACTCGGCGCCCCCCAGTGTGCTGGGATCCTGGACCCTTCAGCATTGTCACCCCTGGAGCCAGGGCCAGTCCCATAGAGTTAGCTGTTAAGTGGGCTGACTGTGTGCCCCCTTCTCTATGGTAATAGAAAAACTCTGGTCCTGTGGTGAGGAAACCTGAGTTCCTGCCCTGTCTTCATGGCTTACTAATGGGTGAGGGACATTAGATACATTATTTAACCTCTCTTGGGTAAATGGGAATGATATATTACCTATTCACCAGTGGTGAAATGGATTCCAAAAGATAGGGGTGACCACTTGAGGCTTCTTTCAGGACTGTGGTCTACAACTCTGGTTCTCCCTGTCCTGTCTCTTCAACCCACATGGCTCCCTGGACTCTTATGCTTGCTGTCGCCTTTCCCTAGAAAATTCTGTTCTTAAGAAGGAGCTGATGTTTCTAATTCATGCTAAGGTGTAAGTGACTATCTTAATGATCAGCTATTTCTTGAACACTATGGCAGGTACTAGGGGAGGAAAGATATGGAATGAATCATGTTTGGCCCTTGCCCCCAAGGAGCTTACATTCAGGAACACAGATAGGTGTAGAATTATCCAAAGGGAACGAAGGAGGTGAGATGGAGGATGGGTTGAGATGGGAGCTCACCAGCCACTGGATCCCAGTCTGGAAGCCTGGGTCATAGTGTGGAGGGACAACTTTTGAATCCTGCCCCGGGGAAGGGGGTGCTTTTATTTTGATCTCTCCCGGCATGAAGTTGCACTTAACATTTTACTTTTATTTTTAAAACTTTAAAAATTGAGATATAGCTTACATATAAGGATTGTATGCATTTTGAAGTTACTGAGTCATAAAGGGAATTGTGCACCGATTCTGGAATGTTAGGCCTGGACAGCAAATGCAGGAGGAGATTTTCTGGATGGGGACCTAACCTAGTGTCCAAGCATAATTCAGATCATGTCACTCCCCTGTTTTAAAGCTCTCCAACCGCCCCCGCCCCGCCTGGTTATTCAGAACAAAGTCCAAAGTCCTTGTCGTGGCCTATGGACCTCCCTAAGACCCAGCTCATGCTAAGTTCTGTGCTTGGCGCTCCAGGAAATCTGGAGATGAGTAAAAACAGTCTGTGTGACCTGCCCGTGGGGAACTCTCAAGGAGTCTTGTGGGGGCGTAACTGCAGTGCAAGATGGGCTGGATCAATGTTGGAAGGAAGGAACCATCAAGAAGGGACCCCAAGGAGGGAGAAACCCTCTCTCTTGTTTGTGAGGTAGAATTAGGACAGTTTCATGGTGGGGGGTGGGAGGAGGGCCTTGAAAGGTGGGCAAAATTTCAGCAGCTGGAGAAGTGGGAGGGGGGTTCCAGGTGCAGGGAAGGGCGTGCGCTTGTGCGAGAGTCCAGGGCACCACTTAGGGTAGGAGGAGGGAATGGCTATGGGGCATGAGGCTCTTGCGGTGGAGCTTTACACACAATTTCACTGAATTCTCACAACTTTCCTGAGAGGTAGGCTCCCCCTTCCTCTCCCTGCGTTTGAGCAAATGGAGGCTCAGAGATGTTGGCTTGCTCAGTGTTACCAGCCACCAGTGTCAGAGCCTACTAGGCTTGAAACAGCCCTGGAAAGAGGGCAGGACAGCATTTAAATCCATTTTACAGGTGAGAAAAGAGAGGCTTAAGATGGAAAGAGACTTCCTCAAATTCACAGAGCTCCAACCAGGTTCTTGTGGTGGCAATAAGGCCCCCTTCACCGTTCATTCCACTCAGGGGCCCCAGTGGATGTGGTTGTGTGGATATCCACCATCTTGCTTTTTTGTTGAGGGCATTCAAAGCCCTTTAAATTGCATACAAAACATCTCTCTGGGGAATCAAGTGCTAAGCACATAGAACAAGAGCTTGGGGAGGAGGGCTGGGTGGGTGGGCATCGGTGTCCAGTTTGGCAGAGGAAGAAAATGTGCCCAGAGAGGCTGAGACCAGCGCACGGCACGCAGTCAGGCCTCAGGCTCCCCCTGCAGTGCTCCTCCCACAGCCCGTCTGCCTGCCTTTCTGTGTTGCCTCCCTGAGAAGGTCCAAGGAGGATCTGGCCCCTTGGGAGGCTGGCGTGGAGCTGAGCCTGGCTGAGGGGACAGCACTGCAGGTGTGCGGGGGGAACACTGTCCTCCTTCCCCTTCGCCCTGCAGAAGCCCAGCAGCTGCCAGGCAGGCTCAGTCCCCGGCAGGGAGGCTCTGGCTCCTCCGTGTGGGGTTGGAATGAAAGTGCCTGGTTGTGTGTGGGAACAGCTGCCAGTGCCTGCATCCTGTCAGCCTCTCTTCCCTAAAGCCCTGGCCTTTCCCCTCCTCTGACAGAAGCTGTGCTGCTGGGAACCTCGGCTTCAGGAATGTGAGGGCCCGACTCTCAGGGCAGGGAGGCCCTTGGGAGGTGTGTTCTCTAGTGTCTCCTGCTGGTTGTACAAGTGTCCCTTTTTCAAAACCTTGGTGGCCACCCAGGCTCTAATAGAAGAATCCTGCAAGTTAGGTATTTTAATTCCACTTTCAGAGTTAGGAACTGAGGAGCAGAGGTGGGATCCCGCCCAGGGCTGTGTGACTCAGTGCATTCCCTGCCATTGGCCCCTGGCGTGGAGTGTTTGCGATGGGCCAGGCCCTGCAGGGAGCACTTGGTGGGCTTTGCCTCATGGGCTGGGTCCGTCTCCCAGGGGCCGCCTGTGTCCTCTGGCCAGAGGGGCTGAACCATCAGGCACGGCTTCCCTTCTGAACCTCCTTTGTCCTCAACTGCCTCTGTCCCACACCTTCTTTAGGATTAGCTCTGGTTTTTTGTTTTTTTTTGGCCACGCTGCGCGGCATGCGGGATCTTAGTTGCCCAACCAGGGATCGAACCTGTGCCGCCTGCAGTGGAAGCGTGGAGTCTTAACCACTGGACCGTAGGGAAGTCCCTAGAATTAACTCATTAACTGCAATGGTTTCCTGCCTAGATGGGGGGGGGGGTGTCCCAAAGCAGGGACTGGGGCTACTTATCTTGGTTCTCTGTGCAGCCTGGTACAGGGACGGCCCAGGGCCAGCGGGGTCCAGGGAGGACCAGTTGACCAAGGGACCCCACTTGCTGAGGTGAGGAAATGGGCAACAAGGTCTGAGATGTCCACAGTGTTCTTTGGTGGAGGGCCTCAAATGCCACAGCTGTACTTAGTGAGAATGGGGACTGGTTGGTGTTTTCAAGGTGAGAAATGACACCATCAGACCTGTGTTTGGATCAGGCTGGTGCAGGTGTCAAGGATGGACTGGAGGCTCAGAGACAAGTGAGGCTGAAGGGATGGTGCAGCAAGAGGTGTTGGAGCCTGAACTTGGTCAAGAGCAGCGGCCAAGGGTGAAGCTGGAGCCTATTCCAGAGGCCGTCCCAAGCCCCCCACGGGAGGGTGGAGTGGACTCAGGTGCGGCGGGCTCTAGACTTTCACTGGTCAAGTGGGGGCAGGGCAGGGGGGAGGCCACAATGGTGGGCACAGGCAGGGGCCCTGAGGCCAGTGCTCCTTAACCTCCTTCCCCCTTTACTCCAGCCTCCTGAATTGGTACCCAGGGAGCCCTAGCAGCCAGCAGAACTTTCCCACTGGCAAAGGTGAAGCGTAGAGCAGACCCTCCTTCCTGTGCTCTGCTGGGGCACGTGAGGGATGGGACATTTCAGCCTGCACGCGCAGAGTCGTGGTGCCCCATTAACATCTGCCGAGTGCTTCCTGCACCAGGCACCGTGCTGAGGGCTTACAGGCATTGACTAGTTCAACCCCTTTATACGGCATACAAGGTAGCTGCTATGATTGTCCTCATAAACAAGGGCCCTGGGGCTTCCAGGGCTTCAGCTAATCGTAAGGCTAATGGGATGGAGCTGGAATTAGAGCCCAGGTCTGTCTAGCACCTGTTCCTGTTCCACCACCCAGTCTGAGACTTCAGGGAGAGCTCAGGATCCCTGAGCTGCTTGTTTACAGAGTGGATTTCTTGGCCCTCAGCCCCGGAGATTCAGGTCTGAGCTGGGGTCTGGGAATCTGCATTAGAAACAAGTTCTCTGTGGTGGCTCTGAAGCAGGGATCAGAAGCCCCTTTTCTGAGATACGCTGCCTGACTCCACCCTCCTGGCAAAGCCTCTACTGCATCCCCACTGAGGAAGCTGTCTGAGCAGAGCCGGGGTGGCCCCCCTACTCAGGAGAGGGGGCCTCATGGGGAAAGGGATTTATGCTCTGGG